GGGCCAGTGGAGCCGGCGGCCCCGGCACGTGATTTGCGACCGGCTCTGTCGCTTGGTGGCTTGGTCTGTCTGTCCGTCCGCGGGTGCCATCATGGCGGACGCGGCCAGTCAGGTTCTCCTGGGCTCCGGTCTCACCATCCTGTCTCAGCCGCTCATGTACGTGAAAGTGCTCATCCAGGTATGAGTCGTCGCCACACCCTTCCCCTCCAGCGCCCGCCGGGTCGCCCCTGCGCAGGGCGGCTGCGGATCGGCTCCAGCCTTGCCTCGGCCTTCCACCTCCGGGATGCTGCCCCTTCTCTGTTGCCCTCCTCCCTCTCCACCGACCCGCGGAGCCTCTCTCTTGGGCCTCTCCGAGGTCTCGCCTCCCCTCCAGGCGGTGAGGCCCACTCCTCCTCCCACAGCCAACTGCCACCCTGTCCTGCTCAGTGGCACCTCTGAACTTTGTTTTTTACCTTCCCCGAGGTTAATCCTGGCGGGTCGCCACCTAGAGATCCGGACTCTCCCCTTCACCCCTCTGAGATTAGCATTCACCTTACCTGGCTCCCTCCCCCCACCCCGGCAAAAAATTCTCAAATGCAGGACAGGAAGTATTTGTTGAAGACAAATTTGAAGTCATAGGAAACCCGACATTTTATTATTTTTATTCGCTTTTCTTCCTTTTTTCCTTGCTACTGTTACCACTGCTATTCTCTTCAGAGATTTTAACACCAGATACTCAGATAAACACAAGGAGTTCTTTCAGAAGTGATAATGAAGTCAAATTTCGAAAGAATCCATTGAGTGCTGTCCTGCAGCAGCCCATGTGGTTCATGACAATGAAAATCACGTTTGCCAGAGCTGGAAATCAGTTCAGTTAAAAGAGTTTTGGCGAGTTTGAACATGAGCATAAAACTCCTGATGTCTTCTCTGGCCTGTCCTTAGTTTTTCATCTACCGTAAAATATTTATTAAATGGTCTTTTCTACTCACAGGCAAGTAGGCCAGATTTTAGCTGATGATAGATAGTATTTTCAATTGCTTTTCCAAATTTCCTCTTTATGGCCAGGTGATTCTTTTTTCTTTTTAAATTTCATTGAGCATTGACATAATTATCTTGTGCGTGATAATAAGGAGGGAAACAGATTTTAGAATCCCTGTCCTCTACCTTTCCCTAAAAACTATACAGTTCACCAGGGATAAAAATATTATTCTTGAGATGTTATTAATCCAGATTATTTGTTGCTCAATTGACTCCTGTAGATTCAGATTCCATATGTAAAAGGATATTGTAAAATAAATTATTTGAACTAGGACAAAGACTGATGAAATGTACTGCGATGTCTAAAATAGAGAATTGACACCTTTCAGGCTAGATAGCATGAGATGACAGCATTCTCTAGTATACCTAATGTGAACCCACCACTCAATAGATCTTCAGGAGACATTTTTTAGTGACATTCAGAAGTCTTACCTCAATAACTTGAATAGCCTTAATTCTGATTTCATAACATCTATGGGTTGCCAAGTATCTCAGGGGTTTTGGTGAAATTCCCAAATACTGGTTTCAAAAATAGTTACATGGCAGCACTCTCTGGAATTATTTAATTGTAAGGAATCACTGCAAGGAGAGCCAAAATTGAGTCCTATAGCATTATTCTCTCAAATATCCTCGTGGCACTAGAAATTCTACATATATTGTACAAATAAAATGTTAGTCATTAATTGTTTAAATGACTTTCCTTAGACTGTTAATGAGTGTGTTCATGTAATATGAACCTAACTTGTAATTTTTTTCTCAAGTCAGTTACTCAGGTATGTCTGCTTTTGTCTTTTGAGTGTTTTGTCTAGTTAGCCAAATGGCAGTTGATGCTGGCTTAGTGGATGAATATTATCTTATTTTGTTCAAATATTTTAAATGCCCTAGATTTTCTCTAGAAAATATATTTTGAGCCTCTTCAGTAAAATGTTCCTAACACAAAAGTTTCCTTATTCTATTTTCAGTTCTCAAAAAACTGATATTATTGTATTGGTCTGTAATCCCAGCTACTGGGGAGGCTGAGGCAGAAACATCAAAAATTCAAGGCTAGCCTATGCAATTTAGCAAAATCCTGTCTCAAAATAAAAAGGACTAGTAAGTGTTTGTCAGTGGTAGAGCTCCCCTAGTTTAATCCCCAGCACTAAAAAAACAAAAACAACCCTGACATTAGTCTATCTTGGCTACGTGGTTTTTACTTTAAAGACTTTTGAACCAAAAAGCAACTTGTAGTTTATTGAACCCAGTCTTAATCAGTTTGATAGAACAAAAAATTGACAGAGATGACAATTCATCACTGCTTTGGAAAACGTAAAGTGTGTTAAAAATTATGACCCTGATTTTGTTCTTTGTTCAAGACCTTGCAGCCAAAGCATTCTGGGAATATTGCTTAGTATTAATGTATTTATTCCCTTACTTTTAAAGGTGGGATATGAGCCTCTTGCCCCAACAATAGGACGAAATATTTTTGGGCGGCAAGTATGTCAGCTTCCTGGTCTCTTTTGTTACGGTAAGTAACTTTGATTTATTGGGAAATGGGTGACATTGAGACTGTGGTAGGCAAAAGTTACTAAAAGAAAATACATGGAAGGCATGTTGTCTTGAAATTTCTATGTAATCATTTCTTTGAACTAGAACTTAAATCTCTTAACTTGCGTTCCTAGCTCAGCACATTGCAAGTATCGATGGGAGGCGTGGGTTGTTCACAGGCTTAACTCCAAGACTGTGTTCAGGAGTCCTTGGAACTGTTGTCCATGGTAAAGTTTTACAGGTAAGAGGTAAATCAACTAATCTTTTTTTTTTTTTTTTTTTTTTTTTTTTTAGAGAGAGAGAGAGAGAATTTTTAATATTTATTTTTTAGTTCTTGGCAGACACAACACCTTTGTTTGTATGTGGTGCTGAGGATCGAACCCGGGCCGCACGCATGCCAGGCGAGCGCGCTACCGCTTGAGCCACATTCCCAGCCCAATCAACTAATCTTCTTATAGGTTCTAGTTGCCTTTTATGCAATTTATTCTACTAATTAAGAGCAATTTCAATGTAACATTTATAACTAGCTATAAGAGTTATATGGACATTGGATTTTAATCACCATGGACATGGCTATATGGACATTGGCCTTTTGATTATTATATTGTACATTGGTGTTCTATGCATTTTTCTGTGTATGCATTAATTTTTAAAGTTCTTTAAAAACTTATCAAACTGTACGTTAATGCATGGTACCTGTTTTGGGGAAGGGGAAAGGGATGAGTGGTAGAACTTCAGCTATATCTATGGCACTTTAAGAAGGTAACAGATCTTGAGCAGTGTTTAGGGTTCCCCCCAAGGGATCAGCACCCTCATACTAGGTTCCTTGAAAGCCATGGTTCCTTGGTGATGGAAATATAAGTTAAGTAAGTGTATTTTAAATTTTTTCCATATATTTGAGATATATGTTTTTCTTTTTTTGTTTTGTTTTGTTTTTTTGTTTGTTTAATTATGCTAGTGCCTCACACATGCTAGGCATGAATTTTACCTCTGGGCTACCCCCAGCCCATTAAATATTATTAAAAACATCAATTCCCAGGGCTGAGCCCCCTAAATTTTAGGTTCCCACCCTGGCCCATGCTATCATAATCACTCAAGGCTTCTACTACGACTGTGTGGTTAGTGCTAGATCTTAATTCCCAGTGCCAACAGGCAGAGGTCGGTGACCTGAAAAATGGCAATGGCAAGAAGAGTGGCTTCAGCAGGTCACTGGCCCAGCCTTGAACATGGTATTCCTCCTAAGTTCTTACAGTGATGAGGTGCTATGGCAGCTGGAGGCCAAGCTAGACCTGTGATCACCTGGCTTGCATGTGGCCTAGGTGTTTGCCAACCTGGGCTTCTTGGCCGATAGGCAACCTTTTAGGAGCTCCTCAAGCCTGAGAGGCTGCTGTATGTGCTGCTCATCAACAATATGGGCACTCTTGCCAGCGTTTCCAAAGGCTCCATGAACCTGGATGACCTAGCTGAAGTGAATATCTATTGGGCTCTGGACCAGCATCCTGAAGGCCTTCCTTGACAGTCCTGTCCTCAGCAGGACTGCAGTTAACATCTCATACCTCTGTGCCCTGTAGTCTTTCAAGGGCTGGACGTTGTACTGTGCATGGAAGATTGCCTGTGACATAATGTTCCAGTCTTGCCACCGAGAAACCTAGCTTGAGGAGACTGAGCTATGCCCTTGGTCCCCTGGACACAGATATGCAGCAATTGGCCTGGGAAACCTCCAGAGACCCATACTTAGAAAAAAGACTGCAGGAGTTGAGGACAAAGAGGGAGCTGGTGGAGTGCAGAATGTCTGCCCAGAAATTATGGAGCTTTCTGCAAAAGAAATGTTCAAGTCTGGAGCCCATGTGGACTTCCATGACAAATAAATGTATGTCCTTGGCTTCTTGGACCTTTTGGCCCCCACTTTCAGGCACACCCCAGGAGCCCTGTGACTTTCCACATCCTGCCATAGTGGCCCTGCCTAACACACATAAGGCATTCATGCCCATTGTCTTGGTCTCAGGGTGGATGGTGTCACCAGTTGTTAGGAGTCTGTGTTGTCAGCCTGGGTGATGAGGTGGCTTCTACAGAAGGCTTGGAAGAGAGGTTGGGTCAGGGTGTCTGGTGTTCTCTCTCACTTCAGGAATAAAATTTTGGGATTGAAAAACAAAAGGAGCTAAAGCATCAAAGAGAGAAGTTTGGGTCTCTGTCCGTGGTCAGTTTGGGGATGGGAGGGAGCAATCTAGTGTCAAAAAAACCCATGTAGGTTTGCACATGGCCTTAAAGGAAGGGAGGACAGTACGAGTTCCAGCCCATGTGTATGCCCCTTCCTTGCTTCTTCTGTTGAAGGTTATATCCTCAACATGGCAAAGGCATATACAAGTAAAATGTGGATTATCCTTCCCCAAAAGGGAAGAAAAGTCAAAAGTTACAAACATCAGTTATATTTGTTTCTTTCTTAGTGATCCTTTTGTTTTGCCAGCTTTTTACTTTTAATAGGAAAGCTTGTATTATCATTTTGATTGTACTGATTTCTCAGTGGCACCTAGTATAGTGTAGCTCAAGCTGAATTAACTTTAAAGGCAGCCTTAGTGTTTAGAAAGTGCTTCTGCAGGCACATTTGTCCTTTGCTATATTTATAAAGGTGTTATGAATGAAAATTCTGTATCAGAACAGTACAAAGGAAGGTTGTACAGCATGAATATGGTTGAGAATATAAATATGCATTTTTCTAGTTGGTTATTCTGTCTCCTAGCACCAGGGGTAAGTTATCTTCTTTACTGTAATTCTTAAAAAAGTATAGCAGCAGGGCTGAAGCTCAGTGATAAGAGTGCATCCTAACCATGCAGGAAACCATAGATTCAACCCCCTATACCAAACAAAACAAGCAATAGAGAGAGGGCATGTGCACAAGCAGATATATGCTCACTAAATCTCTATAATATTTTCAAACTATATAGTATATATATCACATTAGAATGTGTTTACTAACTGCTCATTTAAATAGTACTTCATACAATATTTAGTGTATTTTTTTTTTTATATGAGGATTGAACCCAGGGTTTCTTAACCACTGAGCCATTATCCCAACCCCCTAAATATTTTATTTAGACAAGGTCTTGTTAAGTTGCTTAGAGTCTCATTAAATTCCTTACAACCTCACTAAATTGCTTAGCCTGACTTTGAACTCACAATCCTCCTGCCTCAGCTTCCTGAGCTGATGGGATTCCGTTCGTGTACCACTGCTCCTGGCTCAGTGTATTTTTTTAAGCCATTAAAGTTGCCCCCAGTTCTATGGTTTTATCATCTGATAAACAAATAATGATTTTATTGGTCAGTTTCATTACTTAGTTGACTCAGATTTTGAATTCTGCACAGGCTTTGTTGACCTTGAAAGGTTTTTTAGTTTTCCTCACACAGAGGCTCTTTTACCCTTCATTTGTTTTGCTCAATCTAGAAGCATCATTTCATTTCAAGTGACCACCAGGCCGAGTGCCAGAGTGTTAATGAGCCGGTGTTTGGGTGGGTGTTTACACTCTATCCTTTCCAACAACACCCTGCTCTGGGCTCAGTGAAAGTGTTCTCACCTTAATGAGATTTACATACGGAAAGGCAGTTGTTATCTAGTCATAGAGGTTTATGTATAGACCTAAACTAAAAGCAAAATTAATGCTTGAGAACAAGTTTCTTTATGTACAGGAAAACTAAGACAAACTTGAGGTAGCCAGGTACCCTGAAGATGTTTCACATGTACAGTGCAGTGAAATATAACAGTACTTACTGGGGAGTGATATTGGCCAAATTGCATTTTTATATTGTGTGCATATACAAATACATAAACAGATTCCATCATTATGTAAAACTATATCAATTTTTTAAATGTGGAAAAGAAGAAATATAATAGCACTAGTATCAAAAGCACTTATGCAGTTTGAAGAAAGACCTATTCAGGATGAAGAAAACTAGTAATCTTTACAAGGAGTGTTCTGTATATCTGAATAATAATTTTATTTTGTTCATGATAATATAGAAGAGATGAAGTAGACAATTTTATCAATGAGGTAAAAAACAAAATCTGGAAATGAGTGAAAATGTTTAAAGAAAACTGAAACCATTAGAATTAATTCTAGCCACAAACCCCAAATTTTGCTTAATATTAACATTTCTTCTCTTGCTTTCATTTGTTTTGCAGTGCTAGGGGTTGAACCCAGAGCTAGGCAAGTGCTCTACCACTGAGCTATACCCCCAGCTCTTGCTTCTGATTTTTTTTTTTTTTTAAGAGAGAGTGAGAGAGGAGAGAGAGAATTTTTAATATTTATTTTTTAGTTGGCGGACACAACATCTTTGTTGGTTTGTGGTGCTGAGGATCGAACCCGGGCCGCACGCATGCCAGGCGAGCGCGCTACCGCTTGAGCCACATCCCCAGCCCCCTCTGATTTTTTTTTAATATTTATTTTTTTAGTTTTAGGTAGACACAATATCTTTATTTTATATTTAGGTGGTGCTGAGGATCGAACCCAGTGCCTTGTGCTTGCTAGGTGAGCACTTTACCACTGAGCCATAACTCCAGCCCTTGATTTTTTTTAAAAGTAATTCTTTTTACAAAATATCTCTTTTAAAACTGATATGACTAGAAAAAAAATTATTGTCATATAATAAGAAACTGAATTGTCTGATTCTTTTCTTGCCACCTGATATAGTCTGGGCTTTAGTGGTATTCATATTGTCTTCTCCAGAAGAGGAAAAAAAATCTCACTTGCCTATTTTAGAAAGTCAGATACTAAAGGAAAACTGAGATGATTTCAGCTATTCAACTTAGCACCAATTCTCTGTTCTTTTGTGTAGTGAAGAAAAGAGTTTTGTCCTAATGTGGTATTGATTCTGCTTTTTCCATGAGAGGGTTTGGAACCTTGAGCTGTGTTTTTGTTTTGTTTTATGGTTTGTGTTTGTTTGTTTTTGTTTTGTAGTAGTAGTAGAGGGACAGAATGCCTTTATTTTATTTGTTTGATTTTTATGTGGTGCTAAGGATCAAACACAAGTGAAGCAAGTGCTCTGCCACTGAGCTACTGCCCCAGCCTAGGAGCTGTGTTTTTACCAACTTATTTTCTGTTGAACATGTATGTTTAGTAAATAATGTTCTTTTTGGCTTCCTATTTTTTGTTTTCTTTGAGACCATGAGGGTGGGTGGGAGGGTTTCCATGTTGCTCAGGTTAGTGTTGATCTCCAGGACTCTAGGAACCCTTCTGTGCTGGGGCAACAGGTGTGCTCTACCATCCTTGGCTGTGTTTTGTTTAGTTTTCTGACTGGGGTTGTGGCTCAGAGGTAGAGCGCCTGCTTAGGACAGGTGAGGCCCTGGGTACAATCCTCAGCACCACATAATAACAAAACAACAAATAAATAAAGGTTAAATTTTAAAAAAATAAATTTTCACAGGAGACTGAAGCAGAAGGATTGTTAGTTCAAGCCAGCCTAGGCAAGACCTTGTGTTAAAATAAAAGGCTGGTGGTGTAGTTCAGTGTAGAGTGCCCCTGGGTTCAGGCCTCAGTATCACAAGAAAAATAGCTTTTTCATGATCATTTGCTTGTTTTTCCAGTAGACTAATAGATTAAACTTAGCAATAATATCATCTTGGAGACATTTATTTCCAATTGATTCATTAGAAGTAGAAATCAATAGATTTGTAGTCTCCCTCCCCCCCCCACAAAAAAAATCACCTATTTTATGCCAGTAGAATTTTCATTTGTCGCCTCTCACATGACATGTTAACAGCCTAATTATTCTTTCTTTGCATTTCTTCTGTAGCATTACCAGGAATTCGACAAGGTTGAGGTATGTTGAAGCTGCTTTCTATGTGTGATCCCCTTTCCCTTTCAAGTTATTATTGCCATTTGGGCTTCTTTGGGGGAAAAGCCAAGTAGTTTCATTTTTATCTTGGTTGAAATTCTATTTAAAACCTCCAAGATCTTTAAGATTTTTTGTTTGTTTAATTTGTAGGAGTTAGGACCTGCAAATGTACAAAAAGAAGGTTCATCTTCCTTTGACCGAGTTATCAAAGAGGTAAGAGATGAATAATGTTTCTTGCTATTTACCTAGCTCAAACTGTAAGTGGTGTGGCATCACATGACCTGTTTCCAAATGCAATTAAACCTTCAATTTAAATTGGGCTTTCCTACATGCATGACATAAATAAGAGAGGAGCAGTGAGTGCTTGCTGCTTAGTGAGTCAAGGGAATTTGTTTTGCCCATTTGTTTTTTGTTGTTATTGTTGTTTGTTTATTTATTTGTTGGTTGGTACCAGGGATTAAACTCAGGGGTACTCCACCACCGAGCCATATCCCCCGCCCTATTTTGTGTTTTATTTAGAGACAGTGCCTCACAGTTGCTGAGTCTGGCTTTGAACTCTCTCAATTCTCCGTGTCAGACTCCAAAGCTGCTGGGATTATAGGAGTGCACCACCACACCCAGCATGTCCACTCATTTCCTATTTAACATTGAAGAGGTTTTTGCTGAAAGGACAGGATAGAAAAGGGGAGGATCATGAACTGAAATTAACTTCCGTGCATATATGAATTTGTTGGGGTGATTCCAACTACTATGTGTTGGAATTATTTACACCCCCCTCCCCCCATAAAGCTCTAATTAAAAAAAAAATCAAAGAGGTTTTACTGAAAATAGAAAATAGAGTTGAAAACTTATGGTACAGAAGTGTTAAAATTGGGGTCAGACCCTGTATGTATTGGGTTTTATTTATACAGAGATGCTTCTATGTTATTCTGACTCTGAAGGGTGTCCTATCACTCATTTCCCACCTCCATCTTCTGTCATTGAGGTTTCTTTTTTTAATTTGTTCTAATTATACATGATAGCAGAATGCATTTGGATTCATGTACACAAATGGAACACAGTTTTTCATCTCTGGAACACAGTTTTTCATCTCTGGAACACAGTTTTTTATCTCTGGAACACAGTTTTTCATATGCATCACACCACAGGTGCATTCATACATGTACCTAGGGTAATGATGTTCATCTCATTCCACCATGCCCCCTCTCCCCCTCTGCTTCCCTCTGTCCCCTCTGCCCAATCAAAGTTCCTTCAGTCTCCCCTCTCCCCATCCCCCATTGAGGATTCTTTCATGCCTGGCTTTCAGAACCACTTTTTTTTTTTTTTTTTTTTGGTACCAGGGATTGAACTCCGGGGCACTTGACCACTAAGCCCTATTTTGTAGTGCTTAGTGCCTCACTTTTGCTATGACTGGCTTTGAACTTATGATCTTCCTGCCTCAGCCTCCCGAGCCGCTGGGATTATAGGCGTGCGCCACCATGCCCGGCTCAGAACCACTTTTAATTCTTAGACATCATATTGTCTTGTCTTCTATGATGTAACAACTTTTCAATAATTACTACCTTCTAAAATATTTATTCTAAAACAGACATTTCTAAAGATCTAGATATCAGATAAATCAGATGTCTTCTGAAACTTTTTGTGAGATCAGTTTGTTTAAAAGTAGGGATATAGTGGGTTGGGGGGTCTAGCTCAGTGGTAAAGTAATTACATGTGCGAGTATTGGGTTCATCTGTAATCCTACCAGCTCAGGAGGCAGGAGGATCACAAGTGCAAAGCCAGCCTCAGCAATTGAGCAAGGCCCTAAGCAACTTAGTGAGACCCTGTCTCAAAAAATAAAATAAATTTTAAAATGCTGGGAATATAGCGAAGAAAAAGAAAAAGGGCTAAGGATATAACTCAGTGGTAAACTACCCCTGGGTTCAATCCCTAGTAACCAAAAATAAATAAAATGTAGGGATATAGTAATGTACACTTTTTATTTGCTTAATTTTAGTTAGCCATCCTGTCCCATAGGATCTTCTCAGAACTACCTTTAGTAAAGAGGTGAAGAATGTCAACTCCATAACTGAAGGGAATGATTAAATGCAAAAATGAGTGACAGAGTTTTTTCTGGCAATAGTGAAATCTTGCCTTCTACTAAGGATGTCATATCTCATTGTCCTCTTCTGTGCTTCTTTATTTCCTCCTTTTTGTCTCCTAGCCCCTCAACAAGATGATTTTTTTTTTTTTTTTTTTTTTTTTTTTTACTGAAAGTCTTCTAATAGTGTTGAAAACTTATAGTGCAGAAGTGCTAAAATAAGAATCAGGCCCTGTGCATGTTATTTACCCACCCACCCCCAAAAAATGACAAATTTGCTTTATGACACCAGGCCCTGTGTTGTAATTTAACTTTCCTTATAATCTCCTTACAGAGTCCTAAACTAAAAAGATAAATTGGGATAATCACAGCAGCTCTCAGACTGCACAGTTACAGGGTTATGATTAAAAATCAAAGCTCTTCTATTCTCATTGAGATGTTGGTGCAGATTTCATAGAGCAATCTGACATTTGTCTAGCATAGTTAGTCTCCCTGAAATCACTTACAATGAGAGACCAGTCTAAATACAGGCCTCATAGAATATTTTAGCTGGTGGCCCTTTCTGTTTCTTTTTCTATGAGTGAAATTTTTTTAAGTATTCAGTTTGAGAAATCTGGTTTGCAGCGAGATTTTAAGAAGTAACTATAACATTAAAATCCATCAGTGAGAGATGTGATGAAATGAGTATTATCCATATACCGGGCAGGAGGGCTGTGGTCCCCCTTTTTAAAATCCTGTATTGTAGTATTTACCCATATTCCTTCTCACAAGAATTCAAGTATTGTTTATTTAGATTTCAGAAGTTGTGTGTTGATTGTTTCTAGACAACTCGAGAGATGATCGCTCGTTCTGCTGCTACCCTCATCACACATCCCTTCCACGGTATGTTTGCAGTTGATAACTGAAATCTGATTTCTGATCTTTCTTTTACAACTTGATCTCTCCTGACCACTGAAATAGGTTGACATAGGAGTTGACCAAAGTGCTTTACATGCATGTATTTTGTTTGTTTGTTTTAGCTTTTCTCTGATTTTTCCAGAGAGCAAAGTATCTTTAGGTGGAAAACCTTTTTTTTTTTTTTCAGGGCTATCAAAATCTATCTCAACATAGTTTTAAGAATCTTTTCTCTGTGTTCTACAGTGATCACTCTGAGATCTATGGTACAGTTCATTGGCAGAGAATCCAAGTACTGGTAAGTATTTTGTTTAGCTTTGCTACTTTACATTTTTATGATTCCTTAGCATATGTAGAACAAATTCATATGTGAATGCATCATTTAATATGTACAAAAAGCAATAAAATAAGACAAAAAAGACCCAGGCAGGCAGGGCTAGAAGTCTCCTGAGGACAGAAGAGTAAATTGCAGAGCCACTGAAACCCAATTCACCCTGAACTCTGTATCCTACACCCTTCATAGTTGATATCTACACTTTTTTCTTCAAATATAACTATCTTTGCAGAGTGAGAAAGTGCTAGGGAAGGTTGTAAATTTGACTTTGTCACAAGTGATCATTGAAATTGCTTTTTTATAGTTCCAACATGATCTTAACATACTTTATCTTTCCTTCTTCTGTACCTAGTGGACTTTGTGACTCCATAGTAACCATCTATCGGGAAGAGGGCATTCTAGGATTTTTTGCGTGAGTAAATGCTATTTGTCTACATGTGATTTTTGTGTGTTAGAAAAGCTTTTTTTGAGAATGAAGACAGTGAGTCTTTTTTAATCCTTGTGGAAAAGGTACTTCCTGGATCATGTTAATCTCCATTTAGCCTTCTCTGAATTTTTTTTTTTTTTTTGGTACTGGGGATTGAACCCTGGTGTGCTCTACCACTGAGCTACATCCCAGCCCTTTTTATTTTTTATTTTGAGATAACATCTCAGCAAGTTGCTGGGCAGGCCTCAAGCTTGTGATCCTCCTCCCTCAGCCTCCTGAGTTCCTGGGATTACAGGCATGTGCCACCAGACCAAGCAGGAAAATTAATTTTTGAAAAACAGAAAGATTGTTTTACCATGTATTTTCCCTGTTCTAAGAGTAAGTTTTTGCAAAGCTTGAATTTACTTTGGAAGAATTTAGATTACTACATGTATTCTATTAAGAAAAACTTTGTGTTAATAACTAAATGATCCTTTTGAATTTTCAGAGAGTTTCCACTACTTGATTGATTGATTGGGATTGAATCCAGGGCTTTACATATTCTAAGCATGCACTTTACTACTGAGCCACTGAGCTCTACTCCCAGTCCCAATTTGTTCATTTGTTTGTTTGTTAATTATCATCAATACTCTAGAAAATAGGCAGACAGCCATCATTAGTCATATTTTCAAAATTGAAAAAGCACTCATGCTAAAGAGCATTCATTTGCTGCCTATGACCTGCTAATGAAGGATGAAGCTGGCATTTGAACCCTAGTCTTCAGTCTGCAGAATAATTTTCTTCCCACCGATCCATGCCACCTCACTTAGGTCACCCAGACCCTGGAAACTTTTCTTTTTTTTTTTTAGTTGTAAATGGACACAATACCTTTATTATTTTATTTGTTTATTTTCATGTGGTGCCGGGGATCGAACCCAGTGCCTCATGCGTGCTAGGCAATTGCTCTACCACTGAGCCACAACCCCACCCTCTGGAAATAAGTTTTTTGGTGTCTCTCATCTGTATATATTTGGACATTCTCTCACTTGGCAATTTTTCTCCTTTCTTTCCCTCCAAATTAAATATCAAATTGTTTAGTAAAACCATATTTAAGTCTTTTCTTCAAAGTAGCTCACAAATATTTGGCTTCCCTGCTTACAGTTATTAATAGTAAAGTGAGCCATTGGCCATAGTTGAGAGGGGCAAGGCTGACCTGCATTTTAAAAATGGGATCAAAAGTCATTGGAGGTTAGCCTAAGTGCAAGAGTGTCAGATAGACTGAACTAGCTGTGAGGTCTAGATTCTGGAATTGATGTCTTCAATCCCCTAGAACGTTTTAAGAAGTGTTTGAGTGGATTTTCTTTTCACTGATCACATTTTTTGGTTCTTATTTTTATTGTTTCTTCGTGTAGGGGTCTAATTCCTCGCCTCCTAGGTGACATCATTTCTTTGTGGCTCTGTAACTCACTGGCCTACCTCGTCAATACCTATGCACTGGATAGCGGGGTAGGTTGTAACCTTGGTGACTTGTGCTGGTGTGGGCTTTTTCCATTTACCTGATAGCTCCTTTAGCTTTAAAGTAAGATAGGAGTTTGTTAATATGACAAACTAATATTATATAGAAAAAAAATGATCAGGTGAGTTTTCCAAGGCTAACAGAGATGCACCTAAAAAAGTCTCTGAGGTATGACAGAGTTTTCCTGAGAGATCCAGTCCCGTCATTATTTCATGTTGTTTATAAAGAGATCACTTTTTTGCAGAGGGTTAGTAGTGGGGATTGAACCAGGGCCTCGTACATGCTAGCCAAGCATTTTCCCTCTGAGTTATATACCCATTTTATTTTGTGTCTTAAACAGGATCTTACTGTTACCCAGGCAGCCTTAAACTTGAAATCTTCCTGCCTCAGCCTCCCTAGTAGTTGAGATTACAGGCATACAGGCATGTACTACTGTGCCCAGCTAAGATCACCTCTTCATTGATACCTAAATTTTTTTTTTTTTTTTTTTTTGGTACCAGGGATTGAACACAGAGGCCCTTCTCTTACCCACTTAGTCACATCCCCAGCCTTTTTTTTTTTTTTTTTTTTAGACATAAGGCCTTGCTAAATTGCTAAGGCTGGCTTTGAACTTGGGATCCCCCTGCTTCAGTTTCCTGAGCCATTTGGATTATAGGCATGTGCCACCTTGCCCAGCAATATCTAATTTTATTTTATTTGTTTTGGTAGTAGGGATTGAATCCAGGGGCACTTAACCACTGAGCTACATCCCCAGCCCTTTTTTATATTGTATTTAGAGACAAGATCTCACTGAGTTGCTTAGGGCCTCACTGAGTTGCTGAGACAGTCTTTGAACTCACTATCGTCCTGCCTCAGCCTCCAGAGCTGCTGGGATTATAGGCTTGCACCATTGCGCCCAGCATTATAAGGTTCTTGACTATAGGGATGGAGCTTTTCCAAGGTGCCTGGTCCAAATCTGTATATAGAGGTAGTGAATTGTCTCTTGGCTATATAAACAAAGTTTTTCAGGAACTGTATTACTGGGACATGGAAAGATAGTTTACTGATCTCGTTTTCCTTTGTTTTTGGAATATTAAGGCTATTACATTTGTTCTTAAACCATCCTAATGTAATAGGCCTTTGTCAGTCTTGAATCAGATTGATCATTCTGACTGCTGTTTTTTAATATTTGTACTCAATATTTTGTATTTTTATTCTCAAAATGAATTTTCATGTTGTCAAATAAACTGATAATTTAGATATAAAATATATTATTATGTTGGGGACAGTTAACTTAATATCAGCTTAATATTCTGATTCATTCTAATAGAGGCTCTTTCCTTGTTCTAGGTTTCCACCATGAATGAAATGAAAAGTTATTCCCAAGCTGTCACAGGAGTGAGTTTTGTTTAATCCTATAACCTTCTAAGAATAGTTTTGTTTTTCTTTTAAATTTGACCTGTTTGATCACTGCTTTAAAGCCACGAGATGTCTCACTGGGAAATCTCCCTCAGATTTGATAATGTTTGTCAAATGTAAGAAATGATGCAGTTGCTGCCTCATAGCAACAGTAATAACAGCCCACATAGTTTGATGCTATTCAGCTTTTAAAGGGTAGATACTGTGTCCTGTTCATCCAACACTAGAGAACTTTACCCTCTTTAATCACTGTGGGGTCTTGGAATATTGACCTTTATGTATGTATGTATGATGATGTCTCCCTGTGTTACCAGGCTGGTCTCAAACTCCTGGGCTCTAAGTGATCCTCAGCCTCCTGGAATAGCTGGGATGATAGGCACACACCACACCCAGCTAATAGCAGGCCTTTACTTTGCATAGTCTTTGGAAAGAGCTCTTATTTTCCTCAAGGGTGTTTGAAATGCTTCCTTTGTACTGTATATAGATGTAGAATTATATTTATTTTTTTCTCTTAAATAATGTAGTTCATTTTTATTTGAATGAGAACTTAGTCTCAGGATAAGCAGATTTTGTGGCCTTTGTTAAAATAATGGTTGTAATGATATATTAGGAGGAAGAAGCCTCTCCAGGCTAAAAATTGTGTAACTTGGTCTCTTTGGGGATACTGAGAAACTGAAGTAGTTGATTATTATAGCACTAGGCCTTTAAGAGGAAAGAAGAGAATGAAGAGCAGGAATGGCCTAATAATTTAGCTATCTTTTTGTCATTTTGCAGTTTTTTGCCAGTATGTTGACGTATCCCTTTGTGCTTGTATCTAACCTTATGGCCGTCAACAACTGTGGGTAAGTACTTTGCATTCCTTTTGTTGTTGTTTGTTTGTTACATTTCTGAGGATAAAATCTAGAACATTACGCATACTAGTGCTCCGCCACTGAGCTATATACCCCAACTCCTATACTTTACATTTCTTTCTTTCTTTTTTTTTTAAGAGAATTTTTTAATACCTTTATTTTGTGTGTGTGTGTATGTATGTATTTATTTTAGTTTTCGGTGGACACACATCTTTATTTTATTTTTATGTGGTGCTGAGGATCGAACCCAGTGCCTCACATGTATGAAATGAGCGCTCTGCTGCTGAGCCACAACTCCTGCCCCTATACTTTGCATTTCTTATCTGATGATGGGCTGCCTGTATGCCTGACAGGGCAGTACTAGTGGGAATTTGGGAAGTAAATATGTACTTAATGCTAGTATTAGATTCGTAATTTTTTCTCTATATGCCCTCATGCAGCAGTATTAATTTATATTTGTAAGCAACTACCTCATATCCTTTTTTTAGAATACAGAAAGACATAAATAGTATTTCTTAAACATTACTGGCAGTGGAACCCAAGGGGACTCTACCATTGAGCTATATCTCCAGTTCTTTTTATTTTTTCTTTGAGACAGGATATCACTAAGTTGTTCAGGTTGGTCTTGAACATGTGATCCTCCTGCCTCAGGCTCCCAAAATAGCTGGGATTATAGGCCTGTACCACAATACCCTGTGTATTTATAAATTTTTAAAAATTGATATGCATTTACAAACTATATAGGTCCTATCCTCAAAAGGTCAAGTATTAGATTATTCTACTTACAGCAGGGAATGGTGGTGCATGCCTGTAATCCCAGTAGCTCAGAAGGCTGAGGCAGGGGGATTCCAAGTTCAAAGCCAGCCTCAGGGACTGAGTGAGGCCCTCAGCAATTTATTGAGATCCTGTCTCAAAATAAAACATAAAAAGGGACCCAGGATTGTAGTTCAGTGGTAGAGCACTTGTGAGCATGTGCAAGGCATTGGGTTCGATTCTCAGCACCACATATTAAATAAATAAAGATCCATCAACAACTAAAAAAGTATTTTAAAAAAGAAGCATAAAAAGGGCTGGAGATGTGGCTCAGTGGTTAAGAGCCCCAGGGTTCAATCACCAGTACCAAAAAGAAAATTATTGTACTTTCTTTTTTTTTTTTGGTTCCAGAGATTGAATCCAGGGGTGCTTAGCCACTGAGCCACATCCCCAACCTTTTTTGTGTTTTATTTTGAGACGTTAAGTTGCTGAGGCTGGCTTTGAACTTGTGATCACCCTGCCTCAGCCCGAGCAGCTGGGATTATAGGCATGAACCACCTCGCTTGGCTTGATTTCCAACTTCTAGATACCAAGTGATTGTACCAAGTTGGGCAGAAGTTTTGCCTTTTGTTTTGATTCAAAACCGTTACATTATTGTAGCTGACATAATATGTCATTAGCTGTGTAGAGTTTTGAACAGACTATCATGTTACCTTCTGTTTTCTGATTTTTGGAGCAACTGCTTCATTTTTGCCCAGAGCATACTTGAAAAATGAGTTTAATGTATTATTTCTTATAATTTTTTCAAGAAGTGGATTATGGATTATATTTGAGTAGGAGCACATAGGTCATCAGTATTTATATCCATTGTCATATTTAGTTTCTTTGTGAAAATCAGTTTTTAAATCCCTTCCCTGTTCTTTACCATGCAGTTTCTGTGTTCTAGAGTTAAATCAAACTCTATTATGAAACTCAAATGTAGAAAATTAGGTTGAAGTTTGGCCTACTATTTGTTGATATGGAGTCTAATTCTGGGATTGATTTTTCTTCTCCTCTAATATAGTATTTTTATACAACAAAAACTACCTGGGAGAGAATCTTCTACATAGAAAGAAATTTTGTAAAAGATTTGTCAGACTCTTGAGGATGTTTTGTAAAATTAGTGTGAATACCTAATCTTTTTTTTTTTTTTTTTTTCTGTTTCAGGCTTGCTGGTGGATGCCCTCCTTATTCCCCAATATATAGTTCTTGGATAGATTGCTGGTGCACACTACAGAAAGAGGTACTTCTTTCCCACTCTCTTGTTTTGTTTTCTTAACATCTCTGGAATTCTAGGTTAATTCTTGTAGCTTACTCTGTAACTACTAATTAGCATACCCTTTAAAGTGTTCTATGTACCCACTCTAGCGTAATTATAAAATATAATGCTTAGAAATCATCAGCAGGGTAAAAAACAAATACCAAATGACCCCTTTGATATAAGGGGAGTAAACAAGGACAGGGTAGGGACGAAGAGCTTGAGAAGAAGATTTACATTAAACAGGGATGAGAGGTGGGAGGGAAAGGGAGTGAGAATGATATATAAGAGGAAAGGAGGGGTAAGACAAGATAATACAAATGGAAGAAATGATTTACAGTAGAAGGGGTAGAGAGAGAAAAGGGGAGGGGAGGGGAGGGGAGGGGGGATAGTAGAGAATAGGACTGACAGCAGAATACATCAGACACTAGAAAAGCAATATGTCAATCAATGGAAGGGTAACTGATGTGATACAGCAATCTGTATACGGGGTAAAGTTGGGAGTTCATAACCCACTTGAATCAAACTGTGAAAGATGATGTATTAAGAACTGTGTAATGTTTTGAACGACCAACAATTAAAAAAAAAAAAGAAATTATCAGCAGGGGAAAGGAAGAAGAATCCCTAGATGTGAACTGGAAGCCATTTGAGTGATAACATTCAAGTTACAAATAGGATCCAGATAGATAATTATCCTAATTATTCAAATGATCGCCTCCATTTCAGACAGTTTCAAACTTGCCTTTTTTGGTGTTGGGGATTGAACTCAGGGCCATTTGCATGCTAAGCACATATTCTGCCACTGAGCTATACTCCAGCTCCTCAAATTCACATTTTTTTTCACTCCTCAGAATCTCCTTATATATTTAAGTCTTTTCCCACAGTTGGGATGAGGAGACTAAAAAACAAGAAATTACTGTTTATGAAAAAAATTTGTAACAAATGTTAAAAATGGGTTGGTTACTGTTTTTAACATTTGTTAAAATCTTAGTGAATGATTTTGTCCAGACTCCAGTTTGTGATTTTCACTTACTGGGAAGCATGTCATTTGCAACCAAATATTTTTCATCAAACTCTGTCAGAAACTAAAATATTATATAGCTGAGGAGTAAATTCAGCATGGAACACTTAAAATGGCCATCAGTTTAAAGCTGTTTTTGAGTGGGAGGCACTTTTTAAAGGATTGTAGAAGAAAGTGTATAAAGACACTCTTTGTTGCATTATTTATGACTCTAGTGATACTTATGACAAAGGCCTTTGTTCACAGCTGAGCACTGATGAAAAGGCCTAAGGGTTGCTGTGGTTGGTTTTGCTCAGCATGCATGCGCTGTATGCCACACTAGAACCCTCGAGTTATTTTCATATAGACCAATCATGAATTTTCTTTATTGGATAGTCTCCTAGTGGGTCCCCATTTCAAAATATGGCCTTTCTTTCCCCACTTTTAACTAACTTCCTACTATAGAAAGAAGGTTGAAAATGGACTAGGGTGTCAAGACACACACCTAGGGAACAGTTATCCTACAGATGCTTAACAACAGATCATCTGGATTGGGCATTCACTATATATCAGACATTAGACTTGGAATTTCCACGGAATTCTCAAAATAACCAGACCATTATGTTCATTTGATTCCTTTTCACATATGAAGTTTTTTCTTTTTTTTCTTTTAATTAGAAATTTGAGTCATGCACAGTGGTACATATCTGCAATCCCAGCAGCTTGGGAGGCTGAGGCAGGAGGATCACAAACTCAAAGCCTGCCTCAGCAAAATCAAGGTGCTAAGCAACTAAGCAAGACCCTGTCTCTAAATAAAATACAAGGGCCAAGGATGTGGCTCAGTGGTCAAGTGCCCCTGAGTTCAATTTCCAGTACCATTCCACCCCCAAATTTAGAACCTTGACCATTTCATTAAAAAGATAAATGGTAGGGTGCTTGCCCAGCATGTGTGAGTCACGCCTTAGGTTCAATCCTTAGCACTGAAAAAGAAAAAGAAAAGTACTTAACTGAGTGTTTAACATTGTTCTAAGTGCTCTTCATGATTGAATAATTTAATAACAGCTATTAATAACTATTTTAATAATCCAAATCATAACTGAACATTCTCTATAAGTAAGAAATTTTTGCCTTATCGATGAGGAGAAGTTGAAGTCAGTTCTACTGTAGCTCAGGCTGTCAGAGAAGAGAATTCCTTTGGCAGTCTAGGGTTGTAGCTCAGTGGTAGAATACTTGTGGAGCCTGAACAAGGATCTCAGTTTGATACCTAGCACCACTGGGGTAATGGGGGAGCCATTTGGTAGTGATGATCCCAGTTTTGTCCTGGTCATTTTAGTTGTGTCTTCTAGAAACATGTCCAGTTGGATCTCTGCTGATTTCGTTTGACTTATTCCATCTTCATTCTATATTTGTGTTTTTGTTTTTTTTTTTCCCCAGGGAAATATGAGCCGAGGAAATAGCTTGTTTTTCCGGAAGGTCCCTTTTGGGAAGACTTATTGTTGTGACCTGAGAATGTTAATTTGAAGATGTGGGGCAGGGACAGTGACATTTCTATAGTCCCAGACGCACAGAATTATGGGAGAGAATGTTGATTTCTATACAGTGTGGCGCGCTTTTTTAATAATCATTTAATCTTGGGAAAATGGAGGTGACTGGTGTCTGCCTTTTTTGTTCTTTTTCCTAGCACATTATTTACCACTGATATTCCCCCATTAGTTATTCTGAAATGGGACATTTATTGCTCCAGATTCTTGTTTTATGTAAACTAAAGGAAAAAAAAAACTTATATTTTCCTAAAGGTACCGGCAGGTTGTTGTTGATTTGAGTCTCAATTTAAGGCTTTGTAAAATGAAGAGTAGAATCCCAAGAAGAAATGCTTCTATAAAATTTAAGGAATTAAAAAAGCATATTATATAGGAGGTTATGAATTACTTTTTCTGGCATAGACCATAATAAGTCAACAACTATTAAGAGTTAGCCTCCCATTATATGCTTCTAAGCATTTAATTAAAACCTTGTCTTTTATACTTCAAAGAAAGGACAAACAGTATGTTGCTAAATTACCGTAGAAAAATCTCTACATGAGCCATCCATGTCTATTGTAGAGGAAAAAAAAAATGTCACCAACATCAAAGAGAAAGAATGATTGTAAAGAATAAGATTTGGAAAGAAAGTATGATGACATTTTTTTCCCCCACGTAAAGAAGTTTTTACCTAAAATATGAAAAGCAAATAGTGTGGCAGTAGCCTCCTTCTCTAAGAGCTAGGTATTGGCCAGTCCCTAAATTCCATCACTATATGGTTCTCATTATATTTGATCTTTTGTTCCTAAGTTTTTTGTTTTGTTTCCTTTTTGTTATTTTTGCAAAAGGTGAGTAATTTGTTTTAATTCCTGATGACACCCTCAGAGAGCGTATTTGTATCTGGGAATATGGACGTAAGTCCACAGGGTTCTTAGGATATTTATCACTTCGCATGTCATACCCTTAGGCATGTTAATAAACGTTTGGAAGAAAAATCACTTTCAAAGGAAATAAAATTCAACTCAAGCATAAAGCTCCTATTTATTCAGGGCTTTTGAAAACAGGCTATGCCCTAAAATGAGAAAGCCTATGGTTTCATTTATTTAATCTACTGGGACTTTGCCAAATGAGTAAGCACTTAATTTGCTGCTTCTAGATTTGTCTATCAAAGTAGCAGCACCCATAATATTAGGTAACTGGGGCACATAGGGGTCTTCTCCCTCCTGCAGGGTTTAGGCTACAACCTGAAGCTCATGAGACTAGCTTAGCTCGAAATGTCTTTGATGTCAAATATTCTGTCTTAAAAAGTAATGTAAGTTTTATATCTTATTCGATATTATCAGAATTTGTTTTAATATAAAAATGTTTTACATTACCTACTTTTTTCTCCCCCCTCCCCCCTCAAAAAAATCTTCAAGTAAAGCTGATCTAGGAAAACTTTGCCATGTTTATCCTGTGGCTTCTGTGTACATACACGCCTCCTTCTGAGAAGCATGTCTGACTGTAATAACCCACCACCAGCAGAGGGCACCAAGGCTTTGGTTTTGTCTATGTGAATTGAATGATATGGCCAGCTGAATTCACCAATGTCTGGAAATGCTTAGTCAAAATATTTGAGTCATTTCATTTTTGCTGCATCCAAGTTATAGATTCATTAGGGGCCAATAGCTATGGTCCTCCATAAAATAATTTTAACATATTGAAGTTTATAGGTTAGTAAATGCAACTAGATACTCTTCATACACTCATGCAAGCCAGGTGTGGTAGCACATGCCTATAATCCCAGTGACTAGAGGCCAAGGCAGGAGGATTGCAAGTTCAGGGTCAACCTCAGCAACTTCAAAATTTAAAAAAGGGCTGGGGATGTGGCTCAGTGATTAAGCAGCCCTGGTTCAGTCCCCAGACACACAGGTATGCATGTAAGAGGACTGGGGATACAGCTCAGTAGTTGGGCACTTGCCTAGTTTTTAAGAGAGAATCTTACATCCTGATTTTTGTCTTCGAGGAAAAGTTGCAAGTAAGAGGTTCTTTTGCTCCTAACCAAACATAACTATTTTTCAGGTATCTCAAATGGGGATTACTTTTCCAAAGCAACTGAGAAAGTTTTTCTCCCAACCAAATTGTCCATATGAGAGCTTCCTCATCACTTGCTGCCTAGAGAAATGTCTTGGGGAGGCCCTAGCAGTGTATATGAGTTAAGTCTCCACAATGTTCTCAACTGCCATTATCCCATGGCCAAGAGACAAAGTCTTGAAGAGCCTATTATGCCATGTCTCACAAGAGAACTTCTCTGCTGTCAGGGCCCCAGATCTCTTGTTTAAAAATAGTTAAGCACATTTTTAATTGAAAATGATATTGTTCCAGAACCAACTTGTTGCAGCCGGAAAGAATTTCTTCACTTAAATTCTGATCAGTATCACATACCAAAATGTAAGTAAAGGGCTACTTTAAAGAGCACCAAGGCAAGGAGGAGGACAGGGACCTGGGGCTGCTCTTGAAGACTCCCAGCTTCCTGAGAAGGGGTAAATCTTGACATTTATCTTTCCCTTCTCCAAGTCCAAGATGATACATGGGTGACAGGAAATTTTGTAGTACCAACCTCTGCCTCATGAAGGTAGCAAAAAAAAATGGACTTATCGCTGGTAATTCCATATTACCATGGAAAATCTATTAGATATTACTTTTCTTTCCAGAATGTCATGAAAAGTCAGAGGTTAGATTAAAGACAAGAACTGTTCTATCCAGTCAGGGCCCTGCCCAGCTGGCGTCAGAAAGAGTGGTAAGAATGTCCTTTGGCTGAAAACAAAAGAGGAGGGTGAAAAAGGAAACAGAAGCACGCCTCGCTTCATACTGCTCGGCTTCACTGGAATTCAGTGTCTCATGCTTTTCCTTCCCCCAGGATCCCACATTGAGAGTTTTTAAAAATGCATCTGTCAGTTATTAAGTAAGTAGTTTGGGCAAAGTCCCAGTGCTAGGGGCAATGGAGGACACAGAGGCCTGTAATAAATATCCCTGCCCTCGGTGGCCCTTATTATCCACTGAGAAACAGATTTAAAAACTGAGTTGGAGCCAGGCTCAGTGGCAGACACCTGTAATTCCAGAGACTCAGAAGGCTGAAGCACAAGTTCAAGGCCAGCCTAGACAACTCAACACAAAAAAAAAAAGAAAGGACTACAGATGTTGCTCAGTGGATTTAAGCAGAAACCAGAGTATTGGAGAAGTTGCATGTAATCAAATTCAAAACAGTCACTGAAAAAGGATGCTCACTGAAGCTCTGAGAAACTTGCTGTGATCACTTCCTGCTTGTAGGAAGCAGCATATGCCAGGACATATTGAAACTAAGCACCGTGGGGTCAAGAGGTAAATCTCCTGTTGGGGAATCTCTGAAGACATCATGAAAGAGTGATATTTAGTGTTTTTTTTTTTTCTTTGTGTGTGTGCTGCCGATTGAACCCAAGGCCTTATGCACGGAGGCAAGCACTCTACCAACTCCCCATCCCTTGAGTTAGTCTTCTAAGTTCTAAGGATAGTGAGGACCTTGGGAGGCAGGATGGTAGAATGGGAATAATTCTATCCCTGTTACTTATTAGCTGTGGGACCCTGGGCAGGATACTTAATTTTCAGTTTTCTTGTTTTGTTTAATTGTGTTTTCCGTGCTGGGAATGAAACCCATAGCTATATAAAGCCTTACACTCTTTCTTTTTTCTTTTATTTCTTTTTTTTTTTTTTTCTTTTGAGACAGGGTATCATTAAGTTGCTGAGGGCCTAAGCTGAAGCTGGCTTTCTGGCTTTGAACTTGGCAAACCTTTTATCTCAAGACTCCTGAGCCACTGGGATTACAGACATGTACCACTATGTGTGGCCCCTTACTCATCATGCTCTTATCTCTAAAATGAGAAATGATACATGTGGAAGTATTAAGTTGAGTACAGTTTTCTGGCATGGTAATTATTTAGTATGTGGCAGCTATTATTGTTAGAGTCTTGAGAGAATATTTTACAGATTAGCAATAACATGGGCAAAATTGAAGACACCAATCCTGTATTTCAAATTAGAAACCCTGGAGATCAGGCTGGGGATATAGCTCAGTTGGTAGAGTGCTTGCCTTACATGCACAAGGCCCTGGATTCAGTCCCCAGCACCACCAAAATAAAAATAAATAAATAAAAATTTTAAAAAGCCTCTTTCTCTCCCCCTGCTTCTAAAAACTCACTGCTAGATTCTCAGAAATGTCTCTTAAATTTGTCACCTCCCTTGCATCCCCACCACCTTGGTGCATCATCTCTGCTCAGCTGTGGCAACAGCCTTCTATCTGGTCTTCCTGCCACCAGGGCAGGACAGTCAGTTGGCAGTAGATAAAGCCAGAGCTCTATAGGAGACCAAGGTATGGATGATGTCTTCAACTTTCCTCTGCCTATGCTCACAAGTGACAAAGGACAAAAACCTTTTCTGACCCAAGTTTCTTAAGATTTCTTGCCTTAACATCCTAATCCTTTCACCCCGAGCCCAAGCCACATAGTCCCAATTCTGCAACCTCCTCCTCTGCTCTGCACATTTGTGCTTCTGTGGCAGCTGCGATCTGTGTCTGTTATCTTCCACTGAAGTCTTGTGCTGGAGGAATCAAGCTGAGAGACAGGGATATTTATAAATGGAAAGTGGGTGTAAAGTTCTGCAGTTACAAATGTTTTAAATAAGGCTAATTTCACCTCTTCCCCCATTTAAGCTTTGAAATTCCTGTCCACCCCCTCATCTCCCATCTTTCCCCAAAGCCTGTAAGTTCCTGTCCTGTCCTTGGTCAGAGCCACAATCCTGAATACCATGGGGGCTAAAAGATGTAACACGAAATGAAGTGGGAAATACATAAATTCAGCATCCAAAGACAATGATACAGAGTAAATGCTATTGAGATACTACCTGAGAATAAAATACTTGCTAATGGCCCTCTTTATGCCTTTCCTGTATTTCTCTTAGCTCCAACCCATAAAACAGCCATAGAAACAAAATATCACCCCCATTTTAGTGGTAGGGAAATGAAGCTCAGAAGGGTTGACTCATTTGCCCAAGATGTAAATGGCAAAGCCAGAACTCAGACATGGTCTCCAAATTTGTAAAATTTCTAACATGCCATGCACATGCACTGAGTTTTAGGATTTTTTCTATATAATTAGGAGAATTGATTTTAATGAAGAGTTAATATGAAACCATGAGAGAGAACACATGATTTTATTGTAACAGTGAAATGGTCAACATTGTATGGTGCTGTTGCACACTCAGAAGCCCAATCAAACTGGCTTAATTATTTAACAAAAGGAATTTGCTGGCTCAAATAACCAATGGTCAGTGGTTCAAACAAGGGCATCAGGACTCTCATTTTCTGCATCCCTTGGTCTTCCCATCTCTATTTGGGGTTTCCCCATCCAGACAGGCATTTTCCACGTGGCAAGAAGATGTCAACTGGCAACTGCACTAATGGCTTCTTAGAGCTTGTAATTCCAGAGAAAGAACAAATATCTCCTTGAAATGCTCCAGGAAAATTCCTTAGGAGGACTCTGGCTTGAAACCCACACCCATCTGTAAACCATTTGGTATGCCTGGGAGATTAACTAATCTAGTACCCTGCTGGCCAGGCCTGAGTCACAGATCCATTCTGAAGGGGCTAAGCAGCCCCTCTAGAACAATACATATTGAGCTGGACTGTTTTCTAATAGGGAGGGCATGGCTCCTCAAAGAAAAATTCCCTGGACAGTGTCATTTTACCCTGTCCAAAAAAACACAACTTGATTAGAGGGGAAAGAAAACAGTTTACCAAGAATATGTAGAGAACACATGAGAATCCATGAACTAAACTGGGCATGAGAGTTGATATACTTGGAACCTTCTATACACAAGATATTCGGTCACCCCATGAGGCAGGTAATAGCCCTTTTTTCCAAATGAGGAAAACTGAAGTTCAGATTCAGTCAGTTTGCTAGTAAGTGCCAGAGCTGGAATCCAAACCTGGATGTTGGACTCCAAGTCCTTGGAGCTTTGTATCTCAGCACACTGCCCATGCGGGAGGAGCCAGACGTGGAGGTTGAAACTGATAGATGAGCCCTTGGAAGCCATATCCCTGTGGGAAGACGGCTCTGAAAGCTCTAAGGGCAGCGTGGCACCACACTGGGAAACCGCCCATGTCTTAGCCACTGCAGTCTTGCACAGCTACCAGCTGGGCAACTGACAAACTTCACATGTGTCAATGACAGTTTCTTCACAGTGTGACAAAAATACTACCAAAGCCTGCTCCCCTTATCCTTGCTTCTGATCAAGGGAAGAATCACCTGGTATCTTCAGAAAGGCAGGAATCACAGGAGGAAGCTGGATTGAGAGGGAAGGACATGTTGGGTATAGAATGAGTGGATGGTTGAATAAATACCCTAGAAAAATGAATTAAGAACGAGAAAA